TGATACTCACGTAAACGCTCCTCGGCCTGCTTCCTTTGATTCTCCTCCCAAATCTCTCTGGCGGCCCTGTTCCTCTGCTTGTCCGCTTGTTTTTGGGCTTGTGCGATCTGCTTCGCCTGTGCCGCCTCCTCCAAAGTGGCATTGATTGTGTCCATATCCTTCTGCCACCTCTCATTCTGCCTCTCCTCCTCCTTTTGGTCCCTCTGTCGACGCTGTTCCTCCGCCTCTTGGACATGGCGAAGGAAGCTGTCATCACTGTCATCCACCTCCTCAGACCTCTCCTCACCAACCTCCGACCGCTGCTCTGGCTGATGCTCGCTGAATCGCACCTTCTTCTGGCCTTCTAGCCGCTTCTGTGCCTCCTCCTCCTCCTGTGCATGCTTCTTCTTTTGCTCCTCCTCCTGTGCTCGCTTCTTCTTTTGCTCCTCTTCTTGCAGCTGCCTCTTTTGCTCCTCTTCTTGCAGCTGCCTGTTCTTGTGCTCCTCCTCCTGTGCTGCTCGCTTCTTCTTTTGCTCCTCTTCTTGTGCCTGCCTCTTCTTTTGCTCCTCCTCCTCCTCCTGTGCTCGCTTCTTCTTTTGCTCCTCTTCTTGCAGCTGCCTCTTCTTCTGCTCCTCCTGTGCTCGCTTCTTCTTTTGCTCCTCTTCTTGCAGCTGCCTCTTCTTTTGTTCCTCCTCCTGTGCCCTTTTTTTCTGTTGTTCCTCCTGCGCTCGCTTCTGCTTTTGTTCCTCCTCCTGCGCTCGCTTCTGCTTTTGCTCCTCCTCCTCCTGTGGCTGCTGGTCCTTGCCACCGTCCTTGGCCTTGCCCTTTTTGCCAGCATCCTTGCCACCTTTGTGGCCCGGCTGGCCCTTGCCTTTTCCTCCGACCGCTGGGCCGTCCTGCCCGTAAAACCATATGTGATGCTCACCTGGCAGGGCCGGGTTGAAACACACTTACACAGACATAGGGGTGCTGTGCGACCTCATGAATAAATGCAATGTCGAGGCACACAGCTGCTCCATTCTCTCCCTGACGTAGGTCGATATTATCTTCGAGACGTCTTGGTAAATGTGCGACTGGTCGTGGTCGAGGAATTGTCCTCAGGGAATCGAAAGAATAGACCCTAGCAAGCCACCCAACCCCCAGTGCAGACAAGGCTCTCACCAACTTGTAGGTCAAAGCATGAGCATCCCCGTTGGAGGACGGATGCGATATCAAGGATAAGATGTTCTTAGTCAAATCCAACTTCAAGGGGTGAACATACTATGACTCAACAGCTCTCCTGGCTAAACCAATGCCGAGCGTCGATCCATCCTGAAACATCAACATCCAGCTTGACGAGGCAAGCATAAAGGTCTGGTGCCACCGCCCGTATTTTGGCCGACACCTTGGCTTCCGGGAACCACAACCAGAAGCTCGTGAAACGGTTGAATATTCGCAATGAAGCCTGGCCACGACCCAAAGTGCATCATTCCACTGGTTTTCGGTGAGCCGGGTCCGAGGTGCGCCCGAATTTCTCGGACGATACAAGACCATGTTCGGAGTCACCGGCGAAACGTACGAGGTCGCCATGGCAGAATTTTTAAATGCCTAGGTCTGACCTTAGATGCTGAAATTCCTCTGACCTGGAGACATGAGCACCTTTTGCAGCAGGCCTCGTTGTCCAGCAGCCCGGTTAGAGCACCTACTACACCGACCGGATGGCCTATGACTGAGAGGAGCCTGAAATTGGATGCCTGACCTTTTCTGACCTGGCCTGGGTATGTGAGCACCTACTATTGGGCGGGGCCTGGGCATGCATGAGCTGTTGCTGCCTCTTGTGTCATGAGACCACCGACCGGTCTTGAGTACAGAACGGCAGAATTCGTTCAACCACTGCTCCAGGCACACATGCTCCAGTTCTTGCCAACTCAAATGAGAGAACAACAGCAGAGGCAAACAGGCGAAGCAGGCCTTCCCAAAGGATGCCTCCGGTCCAACTGCACCATAATGGTTGACCTACAGCAGCAGGGGGACACTGACAAATTGTCCAACAACTTTAAACCTGGATTGGCCTCGGACCTGGAACTTCTCAACGATGCATCGTGACCTGCAAGAAGTCCGTGGGCTACAATGCTACATGACTAGAGGACCCACCTTCCTCCGGCCCCACCAGCTGAAGACTTCTGTCCTGCAGCCAGGAGCAATGCAACCAAACACAAATAAACAAAGCCCCTTAAACTCGGATCGGCCTCTGACCTTGAACTTCTTGCTGTGCACTGACCTGCCAGACAGAGCAGTCTTCAAGCCAGCATCGAATCTACCTTGTGCTATGATGATGCCTCCAACCAGCTGGAGACATCGTCGGACCTGCAGCAAGAGCCACTCCCAAAATGCACAAAAAAATTAAACCTGCATAGGCCTCCCACATAGAACTTGTTCATGAGCACGGGCCTGCATGAAGTCTAACAAAGAGCAAGCTACAGGTGCATGATGCAAGAATCAGCCAGCCTCCTCCGGGTTGGACCTGGCATGACAATGTGTGAGCGGGTGGGGGCGGGGGCACTCCTAATTGGTCCGGCCTGAGTGAGCAAGCCCACCAGAAGCCGCCAAGGTCGGCCTCAGGCGCGGTGGTAAAAATTTATATATATATTTTTAACGATTTTGTCCGCCCGTTTGCCGGTTTAGTACTACTTAGGGTTTAGGGTTGAGGAAGGGTGTACAGAATATGGGATCATGTTGATGTCCAGATTTGATGCAAGATTCAGTGACCAGTATTGTGTCACCCTGATAAGAGCATGGGTTCAATATTTGAATAGTAAGGTTTTTAAGGGTGCAGTGGGATTCAGGTTTGGTGGTTTTGTAAGGGTAAACATTAGAATTAAGGGTGTAGTAAGAGTTTAGGGATGACCTGGTATCGAGTGGTGGTGGGTATTGACAAGGACTTCGCCCTGAAATCCAACCCATCCCTTGCAACTTCAGTATATATATATATATATATATCATTATCATTATCATTATTATTATTATTATTATTATTATTATTATTATTATTGTTATTATTATTATTATTATTATTTATTGTTATTATGATTATTATTATCATTAAACTACGATTATTATATCCCAAAGCCTCAAACCTGGGCATCAACTAAACCCAGGACCCTTGCTGAAACCCTTACTAAACCCTTAATCCCTAAATACTAAACTCCCAGACATCCCTGAACTTACTTGGGTGTGGCCCAAGCCAAAATCTCCAAATGAACGGCCCCAGTAAACTACCTGGAACACTCAATTCCAAAGAAGCCCGGCCAATGCCCGAAACAGTGAACCCACCCCTTTTTTTTTGTGAACCAGCCCTTGCGCAGGACTGGTCACGGGGGCCTCGAGGCTTGGTCTTGCACAGACCTGAAAACGATCTAGCGCAGGGATCAAAGGACCCAGTGGACATCGGTGGACCAACACAGCAAGTCAAGCCGTTTGGGCATCGAGATTTAGCGACCCAGGGAGTTATCTGCCGGGAACAAGGTCCCACCCCTGTAGGGGCCATACCGGGCAGTAACCACCACTGAGAAGCGCACCCGACGCCTACTTTGGCGATGACGAGCTGCGCGACGGACCACGTCCGTCCACTGGATCACATGTGATCCTGCGGGCGGGGTCTTGCTCAGACCTCACGCCTGGGTCTTCCTCAGACCCATTACTTTTCCCGGTCTTGCTCAGACCGGAACACAACCCTACCCTAGCACAGCCGCTAAAATAAGAAACCGCCTATGCCTCGGCCTCAACTAATGCCTCAGACCTACCTCCAACCCGCGGCTGTGCCCTAAACACGCCTAAAGAACAAACTAATCTGAAGCTTAGGGTCTTAGGGTGGGGGGGCCTTTAGATTACATGGGGTCTTGCACAGACCGACGGTCCTAGGAGCCGGGTTGATTCAGGGCCTAATGTTAAATCTGCTTAAATACATAAATCTATAATAAGCCCTACACAAACCTTAAACCATGATTTATCTATGTTTCTAATCTAATTCAGGATTACCACAGCCGGATTCTCAGCCCCCGGCTCAGCATGGCAATGATGATGTCGTCGAGCAGGAGGCGGAAGGGCGGGTGGGCTTCTGCTGGAGGTCTAGGGCCTTCGGGTTGATTCAAGGTTTAACATACACTAGAAGATTTACAGCACCTGCCACTACTTCCGACCTCCTACCTGAGCAAAACTAACTACGGGGACGGTCGAACTACATTTGCAACACAACGGACCCTAAGCTTGAAACTTTGAGCAAATATGCTACTTGTATCACCCTAAACCCTTGTTAGATCAGTCTGTAAATCGGCCAGCAAAATTAGCCATCAAATGTGATAAACGAAAGTGCTTAAAGCGGGTCTTTTGGCTAACCCTGCTAGAGTCTAGACCATAAAGTAACATGGATCCTTAAAGGAAAAAGAGTGGAGACATGATGATCACCATGGAATGTGGGTATTGAAAGGTGCAGTGATTTTGCAGTGCTTCCTGTCGCGTAACTGATGGGGTCCTTAGTGCAAACCATTGCGAATGCTGCTTGTCTTGTTCAGTGTCCCTTGTCTGCTCATCGTCATGGCCCCCACCGATGTTGTCATCGCACTGATAAGCTTGCCGCTCTTCTGTGGCAGCCAAACACTCCACCAAACGGATCAACATATCAATGTTTCCTGCACGAAATGCGCACAAACAGAACTCCCGACTACCCAAAGGTCTATCTGGAACACCTCATGCTGTCTGCCAGGAATGGTAGCACAGGCATGATGCGCAGCCCTGTAACTGAAAATAGACTCTTCGACCTGTAAGCAGGGAGCACCAACTCTTAAGGTAAAACCCGAAGCTTGTGGGGTTTGTCCCTAAACCCTGAACTCTAACTCTATTTCGTTGAAACCCGAAACCCTGAACTTCAAACTCTAAACAAACTTTAATTCGTATAAACCCTAAACCCTGAACCCCTAAACCTCTAGACAGATTTAGGGCCTCAAGCCGAAACGTCAGACCCGCTATCCCTGCAACCGTGTAGCATGTTCATGTCATCGACGACCTGTTTTCCGAAAATGGGGTTTAGGGTTCAGGGTTTAGGGGTTTACCGTTTCGGGGAGTTTAGGGGTTTATGGCTGGGGTGTAGGGCTTGGGATGGTTTGGGTGTAAAACTAGTTCACGGTTGGGATTGGATTAAAATGTTCAACCTTTATTCCTTATTGGGTTTAAGTACCCATAAACATGAAAAATGTTAGCCAACTATGACAAAGAGAAAGCGTTTGCAGCAGCAACTTGGAGGGTCGGGGGACTTAGTAAGTAGGTAGTAAGTAGACTTCTAAGTACCCTAAAAGGGACCCTATTTGGGGTTATGGTACTTATAAGTCCCTAAAATAAACCAGTTACTAAGTCCCCCTAAACCCTAAACCCTTCCAGAATCCCTATAGATCCCTTTAAAGGGGCCCTTAAGGAACCCCTTATAGCTACTAAGTCCCCCGCTAAACCCTAAACCCTAAACCCTAAACCCTAAACCCTAAACCCTAAACCCTAAAACCTAAACCCTAAACCCTAAACCCTAAAACCTAAACCCTAAACCCAAGAAGACCATCAACCCTAGATCCGAAGCCTTGATTTCACCTGAGGAAAAACCACAGTGGCACGTGTTCAGGTTCCTTTAAAGGGGGCTACTATCAGGGTGCTATAAGGGTTCCTTTAAAGGGCTCTATGAGGGTTCATATTGGGAGTTTCCGAAATACAGATATAAAATGATAAGCATCTTGGGCGCAACGTAGAACATGCAAACATGCTGGTCAAGACTACATAGAATGAAGAATGAACAACACTTGCATGAAGGAGAGCTATGAAAGAAACGATGACATGAAAAACGACAAACTCTCATCATTAGGCCCTATTCCCAGACCCTGGCAGATAGTGTACTATAAACAGACATAGGTAACAGTGGATCAGGCGTGTCTTTAGGGAATACAGGAAAAGCCAGAAAGTTGGAATATGATTATCCTAAACCCTTTATGGTAAACTATAGGGTATCCTACCATGAAACCATATTCCAACTTTCTGGAGTTCCCTGTATTTGGATAGCTCCTTTTTCGCACCAGCGGTGTTAAAAGCTATGCAAAAGCCTATCGACAAAAAAGCCTTTGAAGGCCCTGTACCGAGCATAAAAAGCACACACATCGCTTGAGAATTCGCAGCGGGTTTTGGGGCACATTTATAGTGTATGTACCGAGGATGGTGTCACGATTTATTGGTTATATTCGCCATTTCTTCAGATCGCTACATTAAACGCAACAGCCGTATGCCCTGATAGAGCCCTTCGAAAATAATCCCATTGTCCTATGAGTCCATGTTCGCAAATACTGTATACTTGGCCCCAAAGTAGCTGTATTGGGGCTGGTTATAAGACCCAATTAAGGACCAAGTATATACAGCATGGGAGTTTCCGCAAGCCGGGGAGCCTAATATAGTGCCCGAAATCGTAGGATCCTTATTATAAGGACCCCCAAAAGAAGGTACCCACAATTTTCGGAAACTCTAAACCCTAAACCCTTTATAGAACCCTTATCGATCCATTCAGGGAACCCTTATAGATCCCTTTAGGGAACCCTTATAGATCCCTTTTAAGGTACTGTTTTTTACTCAGGCCCCTGCAGTACATGGCCCTTAGGGTTGAAGGCTCATGGGACGTAGTAAGTAAGGTTATAAGTAGGTTATAATTAGGATAACCCCACTTAGGGGACTTATAACCCCAGTTATAAGTCCCATGATCCTCTAAGTTCCCTAGACTCCCCCTTATAGAACCCTTATAGACTTATAGACCCCTTAAAAAGGAGCCCTTTAAAGGAACCCTAGGGTTTCTTAATCTTACTAAGTCCCATGATCCTCTAAGTAGGGTTGGAGTCAGATCTGAACTTCCGACTGGGCCTCCTGTGGAAGGGAGCCTACGCTGCCGCAGAACATCGGCGAAGACCTGGGTTTAGGGTTTAGGGTCAGGTGGCATCCCTCTCTGAGGATCCGAAGTAAGTAGGCTTGAGGCTTCAGGGGTTTAGGATTCGAAGCAGATTTTCTATTTTTGTATTTTATTAAGCGGCAGTGGCTTTTTCTCCGCATGGCGAGGAAGGGTCTAGGCTTTACGTTTTATCTTAGGATCCGAGGATTGAGGTGTTGAGTTTTAGATTTTAGGGTTGGGGATAAGGAATAGTGCTTCAGGTTTCGGCTTTCCATAGTCGTTCAGGGTTTTAGGGGCCAAGATTTTGGGGGTGATGCAGTTGTTCCTTTAAGGCTTTCAGGTTCAGGTTTGAGCATGTGCCTCACGAGTTGGGGTGGGGAGCTCATACGGCGTCAAGGTGATGTTAAGGGGCGAGGGATTAGGGCTTCAGCGGCGCGCGGGCTCAGAAAGCAGCTGTGTGAGTAAGCCTTCTAGCTACAGGCTCACCGTCAGTCCTTGCTGATAACCTCAGCCTGTTGCTAGATAAACAATGGTAACGACCTAAATACATGTAAACACGCATGTTTACCTACCATACCCACATAAGTACATACATACATGCATGCATACATGCTTAAATGCTTACAGGCTTATATGCATGCACGCATGCATGCATACATATGTACATACAATCCACTCATGTGCAAACAGCAATAAGCATCTCCACACGTATGTCTGTGCGTTGTCGTATGTATGCACATATTGTCGATCTTTGAGGCCTCGATCCAGGTCCCTGTCGGGCTGAATTCAATCTCATGTTTGGAGGGCATTCGGTGGTACAGGGTTCGAGGCGTGTTGCTGTGAGTATGATTTCGGATTGAACTCTCCGGGATGCAACTCCTGAAGCCCGAAACTTCAAACTTGACAACCCGCGCGCCGAAATCCGATAGTTGATACCAAACCGCATATTCTTATATCCTATAAACCTGCAATCTTCCAAACTCCCAACACCCCGGCAAGTGCGAGTGAGTGACTCGGCACCCAATTTCTTCGCCCTCTCCAGGACTTCGGTCATGGCCTCTACCCAGTGTTATCATGGCTTAGGTTTAGGGTTTGGGGGTTTGGGGCTCAAGATAGCACATCAAACAGTATCATCACCACCATCAACAGCATCGGCACCACTGGTGCCGATACGTCATACACCCTCCTTAGGGTTTAGGTTTCAGGCCCCCAGCCCCAAATGCAAACTCTTTCCACTCATTTGCCCTGCAAGTACACACTGAAAACAGTAAACAGGCCCGGAAATCTTCCTAGACTGCTGAAGCCGATCCAACCCTAATCCGTAGAAGGCTCAAAGAGCCTGCCATAAACTCTAAACTCCTAAAACCCCCTAAACCCCTAAAGCCTAAAGCCCCTATAAGCCCCTAAGCCTCTAAACCCCCAAACCCAAAGTCCTAGGGCCTGAACCTTCATGAGCCAAAGCCTAGCCTGGACTGAAGAAGCTGAACTTCAATCCGAAGACCTGAAGCCCACAACTCCAAACACGCAACCCTAGAGATAAACCCCAGCCCTAAACCCCTAAGCCCTTTTCGGAACCCCCTGCACTTATATATTACTACACATCCCCAAACGACCCACCCAGAAAACACTGCGAAGCTCGGCCTTCTCCAGCACATCTTCCGCCGCCCCCAAGCCGCGGAGGAGCTCACATGCCAGGGCAGCCGGGATGCCCACCTGGGCTAACTGCCTCCCTGCCTCTCTTTCTCTGTCTTGTGTACATAGGCATGCATACGTAGCCGCAGATGTATATGCATACTATGAACATGTAGATGTATACCCACATGTAAATGCATGCGTATACCCATGCATAAACCTGAAGCATACGTGCATGTGTTTGTGCCTGTATGTAATTGTATGTATGTGTGCCTGTGTGGGTGTGTGTGTGTGTGTGCATGTATGTATGTGTGCGCAGGTACATATGTCTGTACATATGTACGGATGTAGATGTTTACGTCTATCTGTCTGTCTGTATATGCATGCATGTAGTGTAAGAGTATGCGCTGTGTGCAGACAGGTTTGTTTGTACATACGTGTGGATATATGGGTGTATGTCATGTATGCAATGTCATGTAATGTATGCATGTGCGTACGAACTAAGTATGTTGTAGCTGATTGAATATTGGTATATATATATATATATATATATATGTACGTATGTATGTATGTATGCGTGCGTGCATCCATGTGTGTATGTATGGTTGGATGTAGAGTCCAGTCGAATCACCACACGGAGCGCAGACAAACTTCCTCAGATTGCAAGCTTATCAGTGTGGGGACGACTGTTCTTAGGTATCTTAGGATCATGGTCACGAGCACTGCGGTTGTTGAGTTGCTTTGTCAATATCCTTCGACACCTGCTTTCACTCTGACTCGCCGCTACACCCCCAAAACCTGTATCAAACGAGGCGCGTTGGTTCCAGCCTTTCTGAACGGGTCGACAGCTGGCTCGGACTCGTTTTTGGGGGGCGGTGGCGGCGGCACCTGAGCGCGTTGCCTTAATTGTTGCATATACTTTTTCTTCATCACGACGGTGCCGCTGTTTGTGTAACTACGGCTGTTAACAGGTTCTTTTTGGCTTGTGCTGGTAATCAGCCGAACGGGGTCTTGAATAAATGGTGTGTGTACAGGGCTCTGAAGAAGTTTCGGCAGTGCAGAGTGCCGAGGAAGCTTTGCAAGCATGCTAGTTATGTTGCAATCGAACCCCATGCTGCTACCTCGGGGACGACACCTGCACACAAGCACCACTCGCATCACTTTCATAGGCAATGCTGATCGGTGCATACAGTTCGAACAGGCCCCATCAGGAACTGTAAGCGCAGACACGGCAGATCCGTCGCCATAGTTTGAGGAGTGTTCGGGAATATACATGTCAGTTATGCTTTTAACAGTTACGTAGAAAACCTATGCAAATAAAATGGAGAAAGACATGCAAACTTTTTCAAACGTTGAGCGTGCGCCGGATGGTGTACTACTGCTCGACTCGACACTACGAATCATAACATGAGACGGACTTGTTTTCGTTTGCCAAAACGGCTCAGATCCCTAAAGTGTAGAGACTCTGTCTAGACGGTCCACAATATCTGCAGGCATCGCCTAACCACAACTACTTTAAAGGGGAGTCCCGAGACAAAAAGGATAAAACATATCCTGTTGGGAACCCCAAGACGTAAGGATAAAGAGCGTTTACAAGGGAACCCCCAGGCAAACAAATAGAAACAGGTACTGCGGACGAGTGCATGCTGCGGTCCACTTGGCACCATCTCGCAACCGCAGCCAGCAGCTCAAGCATTTAGGGCCTATACCTCAACCCTAAATAGCCTGCTACCTTTTATGGCCGAAAACAAGCAATAAGGAACCCAACAAGATAGGTGCTATACGGCCCAGGTATAGCTTGCATCTTTAGACTTGTAATTAGTTCAAACCTTCGCCCGGGACGCTGAAGCCCTCACACCCGGGGAATTCCCAGACCCCCACAGGGTCCAAGTATCATTATGGTCTATACTTATACTGTAGGGTATTTTGGGGGTCTATGTATATGCCATGATGATATAAATCCTGCATGACCCATAATAAGGAATATACTATAATTCCCGTAGTTTAGGGCACTTAAGATAATGCAGGATTTATATCATCAACAGTTGGACCCTTTGGGACCCCAACCCACAACTTCGAATCCTGAGCTCGCCCGGGCACGGGCAGCCACATCCGAGTTGACTGCACGGTGCGCGTCTCAATTGTCGCCGATACGTCAGCCCCGGCCTCGGATCATATCATAAGGAGCAGTATACACGTATGTCCATATATATATATATATATATATATATATCATCTAAAGCCCTTAGTTACGTTTAATGGATCCTGAATAGGATCGCAAATTCTCAATGTCTGGGGCAGTCCAGCGACAAGTTTTTCCTAGGGACTCAAGAATCGGGGTTTGGGACGGTTTTGCTCTACACTTGTTGATGGAGCTCCCATGTTCGTGCTTGGCCTGCCGTGGTTCAGGATCTGGGGTCTGGGCGTCGGGAGCAGGCCTCGCAAACCCGTGCGAAGCCGAAACTTGACACTGCACCTGTAGAAAACGACCCGATGCATACGCCACGAACGCAACTCTTTAGGTTTTGTGTGTCTGTGTAAATGAACCTCATCAAGCTGAGTTGTACTGTAAAAAGCCGCAAAAGCTCAACACCTATGCACATATATGCATACCTTTCTGGTGGTACCGTACCTACCGGTTCACTCTGCCACTCTGCATGTGTCATGGCTTCCAGATTGTAGGAACCTGGAGGTAAACCGTAAACATTACATACTTCACGCTGCAAACCCAGGGTATAGAGCTCGAAGCTTAAACCTCCTAAACCCCGAAACGCTAAACCCTTAAACCCTAAGCCCCTAAGCCCTTACTAAACCCCTAAACCCCATTTGGGACCCTCTTGAAACTCTACCATCCCGACGACCCTGCAGCCAGGATGCAAGAGTCAGAAGCCCAACATAGGCATCTGTGCCATTCTGCACTGCCTGCTTCAAAGTGGGATGTACGGTTTGGGGGTGATAGGGTTTAGGGTTTAAGGCTTTATAGGGTTTCGTGGTTACACTTTAGTTATAGGGTATAAGGTTTAAGGCTTTATAGGGTTTCGTGGCTACACTGCAAATTTAGGGTGTAGGGTTTAAGGGCCACGGGTTCAGCTTAGTATCAGGTTGGGAGCCCGCCAAGGTTTAACAGGAACCTCGAATCCCTTCTCGAACCCCAAACCAGTCCATGCACGTATGCCCCGGCTAAGGGTTTTAGGGTCATATACCTCTTATCAGAAGTAAACAGCTTACATCACAAACCCGATAACCTGAGCCTCTGAAATTAGCCCAAACTCTGAAACTCGACCCTTTAGCCTCAAAAACCAAGCCCGAAACCCCAAATCCTACAGCCCGCAGAGCTTAAACTCTGAAACCCTATATGCAAACAGAGTTCCCACGCCCCGAACCCCTAATTCCAGGTTTGACCAAAATACCAAAACATGTGTAATTGGAGCCACAAACATGTCCGGTACAGCTTCAAGCCTACGAACCGCTAAAATTCTCTCAAAGACCCCAAGTCAAATCCTCCTACAAAAAAACCCTATTGAAACTCTGCAAAAGCTCCTGAACCCTAAGCCCTAAAGCCTACTGTAAACCCTAACCCAGAGGGTCCAAGTAGTCCTTATTTCAGGCTTCTGATACCCCAAAAGACCCTAAAGTCTTACAAGAAGGAGTCCTTGGACCTTCTGGGTAAAGCCCTAGACCCCTAAACACTAAACCGCAGGCCTTAAACCTTTAGCTATACTGAACTTAGAACCCTAGCAAAAATTATAATTTTTGCTGTTTCTTAGGGATTATAATAACCAAAGATTAAAAATTATTTCTAAGTACCCCTAAGTTAGACCCCACGACCCCCAAACCCTAAACCCCTAGACGCCCAAACCTCAACATCCCCAACCCCTACACCCTAAGCCCCTAGACCCCAAAACCCCTCAACTCCCAAGCCCCTGGTAAAGCCAAATTGCAACCTCCGAAGCCCTAAACCCTAAACCCTGAACCCTAAACCCTAAACCCTAAGCCCTAAACCCTGAACCCTGAACCCTAAACCCTAAACCCTGAACCCTGAACCCTACACCCTAAACCCTAAGCCCTAAACTCTGAACCCTAAACCCTAAACCCTAAGCCCTGAACCCTAAACCCTAAACCCCGCCGCCTGGTGCAACGCCAGCCTGGGCTGCCCTGGGCGCGGGGCATAGCACGCCGCCGCCAGGTGGCCCTGCAGCTCCTCAGTTTATAGGGGTTTGGGGCTTTTGGGGGTTTAGGATGGTTTGGGGGTTAAGGCTTTGGGGTTAGGGCTTTGGGGGTTTAGAGCCTTGGGGTTTAGGGCTTTGGGGGTTAAGGCTTTGGGGTTTAGGGCTTTGGGGTTTAGGGCTTTGGGGGTTTAGTGCTTTGGGGGTTAGGGCCTTGGGTTTTAAGGCTTTGGGGTTTAGGACTTTGGTGGTTTCTGATAGTTTAAGGTTTTGGGGGTTACGGCTTTGGGTTTTTTTGTTGGGGTTTATGATGGTTTTGGGGTTAGGGCTTTGGAGGTTTAGGGCCTTGGGGTTTAGTGGTTTGGGGTTAAGGCTTTGGGGGTTTAGGGCCTTGGGGTTTAGTGCTTTAAATTAGGGCCTTGGGGTTTAGGGCTTTGGGGTTTAGGACTTTGGGGGTTTCGGATAGTTTAGGGGTTTAGGGCTTTGGGGTTTACAGTAGGGGCTTGGGGTTTTGGGGTTTAGGCTTGGGGGTTTAGGACTTTGGGGGTTTAGGGCTTTCGGGGTTTAGGGTTGAGCGGTTTAGGATGGTTTAAGGGTTTAGTTAGGCGTATAGGGTAGAAGGACCCCTAAACCCTAAACCCTAAACCCTAAACTCCGATTAGGCTGTGGGGCTTGGGTTTGAACGGTTTAGGGCTCAGGGCTTAGGCTTTGGGGTCTTTAGGGCTTCGCCAGATGTCACAAGAGAAAGTGTGATCTGAATCTCCATGGGGGCTGCAGGTCTTCTTCGGTGCTTATGGTTTGGGGCATCGTGGGACTCAGTATGTAAGGTTATTGTCGGCTATAAGTACCTTAATTGGGTTACAGTAGAAGCCCATAAGTTGGAAACCAATAACCTCAATCCTTAAGGATAATGTACAGGGAATCTAAGCACTATTTGGCCTTAATCGGGTTTCTAACTCTATGGGGTTTACTATATGAATATTTATGAGAGTAGTACCCGAATCTGTTTGAGATTTGATAGGATCTTCACGGGTTTGCATCAAGACGAACACTTCTTCGTCTAGGCTGACAGGGGGGGGTCTATGGTCCTGCGAGGTTTTACAAGGCTTCAGGTTAGGGTTTTACAAACTGTTCGTAAGGTTGGGCAAAGTCTCTCCGCCAGTGCGACGTATTGCAGATGGAAGCTGTGTGTTTTCGGGCTTAGGTTTCGGAACCGCGACTTAACAGCTAAGGTTTACTTTTTCTGATTCTTCCTTGCACTTCGAGCACCCTACATCCTAAACCTCCTGCATGTCAGGTCCCTCTCTGCCCACTGCCTCCTATAGGCGACAAGCGGTCCGACTGAGCCATGCACCCGAGATCTGATCCGCTGCTCTTCTTGGAGGTTCGTGGGTAGCTATCAGGCTATCAGTGGGATTACAAGTAGGATAACTATAGCTAAGACTAGGAGACTTATAGCTTGTAACCCCACTTATACCTACCCATGCCATGAACCTCCAAGTTGTAACTTAGAATCGCCCTGCAGCAGTCAAGCTGGCCTACACCGGGTGCAATCCTCAGTGTGAACAAGCCTGTTTACCCTACACGCCCTAGCAACCCGACCCAAGTTCTAATTAATTATGGGTTGTATGACACTATCTTTCTGCTGGGACCAATCCCAAGCTTCCGAACACTTCATGAAGCCCTAAGCCCGTGTGGCCTTCGGATCGGGCTGATTCACGTCTGCACTGGCCAGGACAAGTGCCGCAGCCACGCCCAGGAAGCCCTGACAGAGAGAGGGTTGCGGATGAGTGAGTTGAACTCCTGGGGTTTGGGCCTAAAGGTGTGCGTGAATAGTGAGTGTGTGTGTGTGTGCGTCTGTGTGTCTGTGTGTCTGTGTGTCTGTGTGTCTGTGTGTCTGTGTGTCTGTGTGTCTGTGTGTGCGTGTGTCTGTGTGTCTGTGTGTCTGTGTGTCTGTGTGTCTGTGTGTCTGTGTGTCTGTGTGTCTGTGTGTCGGTGTGT